CTGTGCCATTGTTGACTCTCAAAAAAAGCTTGATATCTTCTCTTCTTTGTCTCTCTATGTGAGATTTCTCTGATTCTCAGGTTTTGATCACCATGGTTCCTCCGGCTAAGAAATTCATCAACAATCCCAACGGTTCGTTCTCCTTTTGCATGTTTATGGGAACTGTTGACCTATTGAATATGTCCAAATGTGTCACTGTGCACGATTTATATTCACATTGAACATTTTAGCTGTTTTATGGTAGTTGACATGTCAATTGCAAGAGATAATGAACATTTATATGCTGTTTTCTCGTTATTATGCATTGCAGATGTTGTGATTGAGTTCATCGAGGGTCTCGTCGAAACTTATCCTGGACTTCAGTATTTGGATGGTCTTCCTGAGGTTATTTAATCTCTTTCCGCTTTTGTTTGCTTGCTTGCGTCATTCGATTCCTTTCCTTGATGTGCAAATCCTTAGCTTATTTCTGATGATTCTTTGTCTCCTTTGGATTCACAGGTCAAGGTTATATTACGATCTGATGTCTCGGCTGAAAATTATGACAAGGTTGCCGTTATATCAGGCAAGAGTTTCTTGTCTAAATCTTATTTTTGTTTAATTGAGTTTTTTCTTTAGTTTTATGCAATGCGGTTTGAGAAACAGGAGGAGGAAGTGGGCATGAACCAGCACAAGCTGGGTACGTGGGAGAAGGTATGTTGACAGCGGCTGTTTGCGGCGATGTTTTTGCTTCGCCACCAGTTGATTCCATCCTAGCTGTAAGTCCGCACACAGAACTTTTCTTCTTCTTATTCGTTTAAGTCTTTCCTGTGAATGGTGAAGTTTTGTCTAATTCCAGGGGATTCGAGCTGTAACTGGTCCGAAGGGATGCCTCTTGGTTGTCACGGTAAGTAAAAACATGGCTAGAGAGATGCATAGATATCAATAGTTTCGAAGAGCTATGAATTCTTTCTACACATCAATGTGTTTGGCTGATCTAGTTTCTCCTTTAACTATTTTTGACAGAATTATACTGGTGATCGCTTGAACTTTGGCTTAGCAGCTGAGAAAGCAAAAACTGAGGGTTTCAAAGTAGAGGTATTTGTCCATTTATTGTTTAGAATTTGGTAAGAGCATTGGTGGATAGAATTAGAATGACATGATCAATTTTGTAGACTGTGATTGTTGGAGATGATTGTGCTGTACCCCCGCCCCGAGGCATCGCTGGGCGCAGAGGTCTTGCAGGAACAATTCTTGTCCATAAGGTTCTCAGTCTTCCTTCCACTTTGTTTTCTCTCTATCTGCACTCTAAGCTAGCATGTCTTGGCGGTTTCAGTCTTCCTCATCTTGTTTGTTATTGTATTTTCTTAAACTGTTTCTGATGTCTTAGAATCGAGCAGATTTTTTGCATTTATATATGTGTTTACTCTTTCTTATTGGTTAAGGATAGGTTGCTGGAGCAGCAGCTGCTGCTGGTCTTTCTCTAGCAGAAGTTGCAGCGGAAGCACAACGTGCATCTGAGATGGTTGGGACCATGGGTGTTGCACTATCTGTTTGCGCGCTTCCGGGACAGGTTACATCAGATCGTTTGGGTCCAGAGAAAATGGAACTTGGGCTTGGAGTTGTATGTTGTCCATCTCTACTTATTTTCTTTTACGCCATATTAGATATCATACATTGTTGTTTGTTGTATCTTAACTTCTTTTTCTTGCTATTTTGAACTTCTCTATCAGCATGGGGAACCTGGTGCTGCCGTGGTCGACATTCAACCTGTGGATGTTGTAGTTTCCCATGTTCTTCAACAGATACTGAGTCCAGTATGTGCATTATTCCTGTTTTACTTCATTACTTAACTATCTTGCGGTTACTGACTATAGTGTTTCATTCATTGGCCTATGCATTCTTTCTAACCGCAGGAGACTAATTATGTTCCAATTACACGTGGTAATAGTGTGGTTCTGATGGTTAATGGGTAAGCCTACGTATTCCATCTTCCTAGTTAGGTGATCCTTGTACTTAGTTTCACCATACTATAATATTATATCTATGATACCCACTTATGATCTAACTAGTTTGCTTAATTATATCTGAAATATTTTTATTTTTCCTGTTGTTTTGCAGCTTAGGTGGTACCCCTCTAATGGAACTTATGATTGCTGCTGGAAAAGCAGTCCCTAAATTACAGTTGGAATTTGGACTTGCTGTTGATAGGGTGTATACTGGATCATTCATGTCATCGCTTGATATGGCAGGTGACTATTTTTCTTGTGTCTATGTAGAGTCACTGGTATTTGTGCTGTTTCTCTTATACTCTTTCCTTCCCTTCTCAGGATTCTCTATATCGATCATGAAGGCTGACCAGTCAATTTTAGAGCGTTTGGATGCTCCGACCAAGGCTCCTAGTTGGCCAGTTGGCACAGAGGGTCTGTAAGATGTAGTTAAATTGTCTTTCTTGTTCCTCTAATAATTTCTTTGGAGCTTCTATTAGATTGTAATTTTTTCCTCCGCTATCATTATTTGGTTCTGTCATTGTGGTATCCTATGTCATTTCGAGGCTGGATTTTACCTTTTTCTGAGCTCAAGCTAGATCTCTCTCTCTACAGGAAGCCGCCCACCAGCAAAGATCCCCGTTCCACTGCCTCCCTTCCAATCAACGAAAAACAAAGAGGTAAGTGTTAAGGTTTGATAAAAACAACGGTTTTAAGGAGATGGATAAATTTTCTGTACGTTTTCTGAGAGCTTGCCAGTTGATCATGTTAACTTTCTAATTGATGATTCTAGTCTCCAAGCCGACCTCAAGCGCTTAGTCAACAAGGTCGACTTCTTGAAGCAGCTATCGAAACAGCAGCAACTGTGGTCATCAATCTGAAGGATAGTTTGAACGAATGGGATGGAAAAGTAGGTGATGGGGACTGTGGATCAACAGTAAGTCTTGTTCTAAAATGTTGTCAAAAGAAAAGTGGTACTTTGTGTATGTCATTAATCTTATGCGAATTATGCCATTCACTGCGTAGATGTGCAGAGGCGCAACAGCTATTCTTGAGGACATGAGGAATTAGTGAGTCAATTTACTCTTAACCCCATTTTACCTCTTCTTCTCCTCCGTTCGGCTTGTTTACTTACAGTTTGAACCGTTTGTCTCTCTCTTTTATAGTTATCCGCTCAATGATGCTGCCGAAACAGTGAGTGAGATTGGTTCATCAATCAGAAGAGTCATGGGGGGAACAAGCGGAATAATGTAAATCAATATATATATATTTGACAAGTCTCTTTCTCTAATATGATCATGCATTTGACATCTACTGATATAAAAAACCAATCTCTAATGTGTAAAACAGTTATAGTCTCCTCTGCAAGGCAGCATATGCGGAGTTAAAAGCTAACGGTCAGTCAGAAATCACTCCCAAACACTGTAAGATAACGTTTCTTGCATTGTCATTAGTTATTACTCCAAAAATCCACATGATCGCCTGTGAATCTGATTTTCCTCTTGAATCAGGGTCTGAAACACTCAAGTCATCAATCTCTGCTGTCAGTAAATATGGTGGAGCAAGTGCGGGTTACAGAACGATGTTAGATGCGCTCATCCCAGCTTCGAAAGTCCTTGAGGAGGTGACTGGTCAATAGGTTACTTATAGAAGTATTTTGTTAAAAGTACTAATGAGCTTCTGCTTTGATTTGTGAGTAGAAACTAAACGCTGGAGCGGATCCGATATCTGCTTTTGTTCAGTCAGCTGAAGCTGCAACTGCAGGAGCTGAATCAACCATTCAAATGCCAGCACAGGTTAGGTTTATGATTTAATGACTCTCGGTTATTTGCAGATTGGCCAAAACTGCTACAAAATTGCGATCACTGAGAGATCAGAGAGTTATGTGCTGGATGTTAATGTTTTTGTTTGTTTTTTTCCGTTCGATATGACGGATTGGATTGGGGGACAGGCCGGGAGATCAAGCTATGTATCAGCTGAGATTCTTGCATCGATTCCTGATCCAGGTGCAATGGCTGCAGCGGCATGGTACAGCGCGGCTGCAAGAGCCGTGAAGGAGCTGAGCCAAGGGTTGTGATTCCGATGGATTAAGGGTCTGTGAGAGGTTACTACAAGCTTTGTTGATTTGATTTCTGGTTTTGTTGGCTCAGGTGTATGTATCTAATCTTTATATGCAAATGACTTGAGGGATTCTTGTGAAATAGTTCGTCTGTTTTGAGTGTGTGTGAATGACTG